TCACACGGTGGCACCCCATTGCCTTCTATTCGAGGAAATTGAAGGATGCAGAGATCAGGTATGACACCCATGATATTGAGCTTCTCGCGATCGTCGCGGCCTTTAAGCATTGGCATCACTACTGTCAAGATAGTAATTTTCCTGTTATAGTACGGACGGATCATAATAATCTGATTTACTTCATGAAGAAAGTATCAATCAATAATTGGCAGGCCCACTGGATCGAGTTCCTAGCAGGTTTCGATTTTCAGATTGAACATAGGCCTGGCCGCACCAACCCCGCGGACGGTCCGAGTCGCAGACCGGACTACGTCGAAACGCAACATCAAGCATTTGATGGGTTGTTACCCACGCTCCAGCAAAAGCTGGCCCGTGGTTATAGTGAAGCTGTAGAGAACAGCGAGGGCGATGCGTTGCAAAAGAGTACTCGAATCCGCGCCGTCTTCGCAAAAGCGGGCGAGCAAACGGTAACCCAAGATATCCTCCACGAAGTGGACAAGTTAAAGCTGCACCCCCGCGAGGGGCACGCAGAGGATACACAAGCTTTCCTGCCTCACTGTTGCGTGATGCGAGAGGCAGCTACAGAAGCACCGTACGAGGAGCCATCCCTTGATCTTCGCAAGCTCATCGTTCAAGTCCAAAGTGGTGACCCATTCTTGAAGGATCGAGCATTGCGAATGACAAAGAGGCGTCCACGGACGGAAGGCGTAGAGAGAGAGTGGGCTCTTCATCAGGAAAGCGGAGTCCTTTCGAGGGAAGGCATCATCCCCTTTCCTCGAGACCCAGCCCTCATTGAAGAGCTCCTCCGAATCCATCATGATGACCCGTTAGCAGGTCACTTTGGCGTGGCGAAGACCACAGAACTACTTACTCGGAAGTATAAGTGGCCAAAAATGAGGGAGGACGTAAAGGAATACGTTAAGACCTGTCAAATCTGCCAGAAAATGGTAGTGAAGCGTCACCGCCCATACGGCGAGTTGCAGCCGCTTCCACAACCAAACGGCCCAGGAGAAGAGATCTCCATGGACTTTATAACAGGCCTCCCACCAAGCCTTCACCCGTTGACGAAGAAGGCGTACGATTCCATACTTGTAGTTGTGGATCGATACACAAAGTACGCCTTATATATCGCAACGAATAAGACGGTGAATGCCAATGATTTGGCAACACTTATCCTCCGCTACGTTATCACAGAGTTCGGGATTCCAAAGGGAATTGTCTCCGATACGGGATCTGTATTCACAAGTAGCTACTGGTCTTGCCTCTGTTATTTCTTAAAGATTCGCCAGCGTTTGAGCACCGCTTTCCACCCGCAGATGGATGGACAAACTGAGCGCCAGAATCAAACAATCGAACACTACCTTCGGTCGTATTGCACAAGCTCCCAGGACGAGTGGGTAGTACTCCTACCCATCGCCCAGTTCTCATATAATAACTCCTTCCATTCGACAATTCAAACAACACCTTTCCGGGCATTAAAAGGCTTTGATCCTCGTATGCCAGATGTGAGTGTCGCGGACGCCCCTCAAAAGGGGGATGCACTCGAGCCGTTTGAAAGAATACAGAAGCTCCAGGAGGAAAGGGAAGTGCTGGCGCACCATTGGCTCCGAGCGACGCAGTCGCAGACGAAGCACTATAATCTCAAAAGGAAGCCAAAGGAATATAGCATGGGGGACCAAGTCCTCCTTTCCACAAAGAACATCAAGCTGCGGAGGCCAAACAGAAAGCTCGCGGAACAGTTCGTAGGGCCCTTCAAGATCGTAGAGATCATTGGAAAGCAGGCCTATAGGCTTGAGTTGCCATGGGACATGGGGATTCACCCAACCTTCCACGTGTCATTGCTAGAACCACACCACAAGAGGCAGTAAGCTCACGCACAGGTCACGGATAGTAAACACAAGAGTAGAAAAGCCACATAGGGCATCAATTCGCTATTCTAGAACCGGAGCTCAACTATCTAATGTGGCGCAAGCGTTATCAAGCAGCGACGTCACCATCTTCAACGTCGGAGAAGTCGTCGTTGGAGATGTGGGAGCGAGTGGGGGAGGGCTCTGGCTGACAGGCCAGCTTGGCCTCCAGCTCTAGGTCGTTGTCATCTTCGCCAGGGAAAGCCTCTGACTCCACCTCGCTATCAGAGCTCTCGTACTCCCCGCAGGTGGCGACAGCGGGATTGTGCTGGTGCTAAGAGAGGTTAGTTGGAGAACAGGAAGGGAAACGGGAGCGACGCGTACCTTTGCCTGATACATGTCGGCCTTGAAGCGCGCGACACGCTGAAGTGCCTTGATGTTGTCAGCAACAGCAAGGAGGGCGAGGCCGACGTCGATCTTCTCGGGCTTACTGTCCGCACCGAAGGCGCGGCGGCGAGAAGGAGATTCTTGCCACGCTCGACGAACTGGGTGTACTTGGCCTGGCGGGCCTTGAGGATTTGGGAGCGGGCCTTGATGACAGGGATAACCATCTCATCCACGTTCCAGGAAGCCATGAATTGCGCGTGCGCAACCATCATGCGATTGAATCTCTTGATCGCAAACTTGGGGATCTAAACAGATTAGGCCGAGGACAATCAAGCGATGCGGGGGATATGCGGAGGACTCACGGGCAAGCAGTGACAGTGTTGATCCGAGCAATACTGGCATCGGGCCATGCTGTTCGCGCGGGTGCATTTCAGCTCCGTCTTGAACTTGAAGACGTTCTTGGAGCAGCGTAGACACATTGGGATGACGGGCTTCTTGCAGGGGGCACGCGAGGGGCTGAACTCCCCACCAAGAATGGAAGGGTTTGCGGGGCGGTTGAAGTGCTGTGGCGTGCCCATAGCGGGGAAGGCAATCAGGCGACGAGCAAATCTCGGGATCGGGGGCTCAAAGGGGCTTGAGCCTCAAAGGGGGGGATATTGTCACGAACCGAATCACGTGCGGGCAATACTCACGTGCCCTTCAGTGCCAAGACGGAGGCATGTCGGTCCGGACAGGACACGTAGAACTATATAGTAGGAACGCGGACCTTCGGAGGAAGGTCAGCGTTCAGTCTTCGTATCAATAGACCAGGATTCTACGTATATTCCTTCCCGTGACTTCCCACTGCCCTACTCGCCAAGAAGTCCTTTACAGGTGGGCAATGCAAGGCTGACAATCGCCGAACCGAATTATCTGGCAAGGCTGTCAAATGGATAATTTGCCCTCATGACTCTCCCTTTCTTTGATGTTGATTCCAGCAGCCTATGAAGTAATTTTACTATACATTTACAGCAGCAAGACTTTATTATTTAGTAATGGATTTGTATAGGGCTACTATGATCATTCGTATGAGTGTGGCTATTCAGAGTCTCAACGCCTCGAGGGAATAAGCAGCAAACATTTGACATCAACATGGAATGAATTCATGGCACTTCTTTCAAAGTCGATAATATAGTATTAAAAATATTAAATAGCGACATCAACGGCGTATCATGAGTCAAGCTACGGAAACGAGAAATATCAAGCGTCAGAGCCTATCCGCGGCGACGAGTAGTTGGGCTCTTGCCCTTACCCTTCGTCGGAGTGGCCGTAGTTTGACCAACAGCTGGCTTCTCCTTTTGCTTCCCTGCGGACTTCTTGGATGGTGCGTTCCAGTAGTACACCATCTGAGCGGCCAGCACAGCATTGAGGGCAAATCCAGCAACGTATCCGTATAGAATCAGGTTATCATCCACCTCCTGTAGGGTTGTAAAGATGCGTGAGAGCGAGCCAGCCAAAAAGTTGAAGACCTGCGCATTAAAATCAGTATAGTGCATCTATGACTTGGGAACATCCTGTGACTTACAGCAAACGCGCTCAACTGTCCAGTTCCTCCCTGCTGCCAGGTCGTCGCGATCTGCGGTAACTTGCTTGCGACTCCCAGGACTCCAGCACCAGCTTGGAAGTAGCTCAGGGTCTTCATGTTCACCAGATCAGCGTTGAACAGCGTCGTCAGGCCCATTGCGAGCGCTGCGACAAAGATCGCGGCCTGCGTGGCGCGTCCGCTGTACTTCAGTACCAGCACCGAGATCACGATATTCTGCACCACAATGAGTGCCGTCTCGCCAAACGTGCTGAATGGGAAGCCCGAGCGAACATTGTACGCCAGGCCGATCAAGTATGCCGACGTCTCGAGGAGGTAGCTGAGGAAGGAGATACCCGACGCGGATTTCGAGTTGACGAGCTTGAGGATCTGGGGAACCTTGACGACAGAGCTGGCGCCGATGATGCCGATTCCGAGGCCTTTGGAGATGGCGAGCTTGATGCATTCGGTCGCGGTTGGGTCGATTTCAAGGAGAAGCGTGTCGTAGCATTGTCTACCGAGGATAGAGACTCCGAGTTCACGGATCGGTGCCGGAAGGTTGTGTGTGATGGGCTGCAGAGCAGCGCGTACGGAATCCATAGCGATGGTGTGTTGAGTGAGGGTGATGGTAGGGTAGGGCTCAGGTTTTGATGTAGCTCAGAGAAGTAAGTGGTGGAAATAGTTCGGTGTGACGGCAAATGGGAGCGATCTGACGATGCATCTGGTCGCGCTAGCGGGAAACAACACCTTTGCTTCTTTGTTGGCGAACGAAGAATGGCAAACATTTCGTCGCGTATATAAAGTACTATAGCATCATTTGTTGCAATTGGTGACATTGCTAACTAGGAGTGACAGCTTAAAGCATATTTGTGCAGATCATCCCTTTCGATTTGAACCTTTTGTGACAAGTAATGGAGCTGTGGACCAGATCGGGATATAACGAAGGTCCGCGCATGTAATAAAGGCCCTTCCTCATAATTCCGCCAGTGGATGTCAAACGTTATTTGTATTTGAAGCTTCATGATCTGATTTTTCGACCTTCATGTTCTGTTTGGCTCAACGAGATTGTTGACGTTCGACATTGAAACCCCTCCCGTTGAACGCCAACGAATAAAGCAAAAAAGCCGTCCGAATATCTACAGAGCAACAGGCAGCAGGCAACAGTAATGCCAGCAAACACACAGAGGCTAGAATGCCTGTTCGGCCTATGTTGCTTTCTCAATCGCCCTCAGAGATCGACCGCCGAAACGATTGTATGACTGGGGTCCGCCAGGGTTGCCAGGATGGGCACGGAAATATTCATCAATAGCTTCCGTCGAATTCTCTAAGTTCGAACGCTGTTCCCATGTAGCCTCCTCCATCGAAAATCCCTTCCACAAGACGTAAAATTTGAGCTCCCCGTTGCTGACGCGAGAATCAAGGACTCTCTCGACTTCATATTCTTCATCCTCTGCAGGGTCATTTTTCCCATTCTGCTTTCCCTGGGAAGCAACACTGCATTAGGCCGAAAAACTTGAAATATAAACGCGTGTTATGGGTTTAATTGCAACTTACTGGCTTCACCTTGGTGAGGTTGTCCTCACGTTGACGAAGTTCTTCGAGTAGCTTCTTGTATCCCTTTCTATCCTCAGGAGTCTAGCGGGGTATAAGTATGCGGAACATTATATGAACGTTATGACTTCACTAACTGATCTTTTTCCGGGCTGACGGATATCTTTCAAGGCTCGTCTGTAGCCATATGTTGTAGTCAACCTCTGCGCTCTACGCCTGGACCTCACTGGGCCCACCATTGTGAGGATGGCGTATAGGCTTTTCAAGACACCGACAGCTTCCTTTTCAATAGTAAGTGCAGTTAATTACTCAACCAACTTGACCTCAAGTTGTTGTTTTTTGAAAGTTGTTGTTAAAGGAAAGAGAGTAAAAGGTATGTGGTTATAACATATGAAGGCGGCTAAGCTCGCTTAAATTGGCCATTGCAACACATATTCATGTATAATCGTCGGTGTTGTTGGACGTAATTGCGGAATATGGGGAACTACACACGAATTTGTGTGGTAATCTCCGACAACCGTAATCAGTCTCTTCGGGCAACGGAGCAGAAGCTTCACAGTAGAGTACAGTAAAATAGTATAATATAATCAATTGAATTACAACCTAATCTACGGGCCTACGTACGCTATTTGTAGGCCTGGGGAAACCCCCAAGACCCTGACGAGCTGAGCTCTCTGGGCTTTAGCTGAGCTCAGTCGGTGGCTTTCAATAGCCTGGCGCGCCACTGTCTAACTCGTGAGCCAACCAGGAAGCTGCTGGACAGTTCCCTGCGGAAAACCTGTCATTTTGGGCGTAAAAGTCCACCGTATCCCACGGGAATGTCCGTTTCCCCCAACAGGTAGTATTCTATACTATACTACATTATAAAAGGCCAAGACCAATTGATTGGCTATCATTTGTCAAAATTCAGGATTGGCTATGTTAGGTTCTAGCCCCACTTCCTACTTCTATAGGCTTAGCACATAGAGTTTTCCCGTAAACAATTTCCTGTCTGCTTATGCTTTGCTATGACTATTAATAAGTCTCAAGGCCAGTCGTTTAAGCATGTAGGTGTTGATCTATGGGCAGCTATGTTTAGTCATGGGCAATTCTATGTTGCAATGTCGCGGACGTCATCCGTAGCTGGCTTACACGTTCTACTTCCAGAAGGTGACGATAACACTATACCAAACGTTGTATATCCAGAGGTATTATGTGATATTAATTAGAAATACTATCTATACTACTATTCTACTGCTTACCTTAACTCTATTTATGGGTGGTTACGGGCGTTTGCAGGTTTAGATTTCATCCGTAAACATCCGTAATCATCTACGAGTTACTTTAATCACATTTTTACAAGAAATAAAACAAGGTTCATTGCCCGTAGGCGTGTCATTTACTATTCTACACTACTTTACATAAATATACAGCCCTTAGGCCTCCTCCTCACGCTCCTCCCCTTCCTCTCCCTCTCCATCCTCCTCCTCCTCCTCCGGCCTTAGCCCTGCCACAACCTCTGTATAGAAGGTCCCGCGAGAGGCAGCCTCAGTAGAGGTGACGAAATCCATCGCCACCCCAGCAAGGGTGTGCCCTAGGCAGAGCCTCCTACGGGAGGCTGGGCTTGCAGCCCGGAAACGATGGATCCAGGCATGGAGGGTGTTGTTACGATTATAGCTTACAGCTTGTTACGGTTGTTACAGTTGTTACGGTTGTTCGGTTGTTACAGTTGTTACAGTTGTTATGGTTGTTACGGTTGTTACGGGTGCAGCCTTAGCCACCAAGGCTACAACCGCTAAGCGGACAACTGTATATTATGAGGAATAGCCTCACCTTCCTTCCTTCTTCTTCTTCTTCTCTCTTTAGATTCAATCTAGCTTATTATTTTCCGGACTGGCTTTTGACCTCCGTGACCATCGTAACAGGTGTGGGTGGGGTGCTCCTCATTCCCAACATAGCAGGGGTCATCAGGGCGGTGGGTGGGAGGTGCGCGGGAGGCAGCAGCGCGAGCGGGTGATGACGTTCGGGCATGGCGGGACGGGCGCGTATCTTTTAGCTGGGGGGGCCGCTTTAGGCCACGGCCCACCCCACCTGTAAGCGCCTCGGTGGTGCATGAGGCGGCTGACGCAGCAGGGTGCTGAGCACGTAGACCTTCTACAAGTTAGTTACGGACTGCAAACAACAAGGGAGGGAGGGGACTTACTGAAACGTCCTGAAGGACTACCCGTACCGGGCGCCGATGGGACCGCAGAAGCTACTCCATCCATGTTAGTACAGAAACCAAAACAAGAGGGAGAGAGAAAACTTACCATCGAGCGAGCAGCGCGCGCCTTCGCCACCGAAGTGGCAGTTGGTGCAGCTCTCATGGAGGAGTCCCTCCACCCGGACACACCCCGCAAACTGGCCATATCCGGCCACGTAGTCGGTACATGGTGGCTGGACAAGCTCGCCAACTGTAAACCCTATGGCCGCCTCGAGGTTCTGCATCCTCACGAGGTTCGGCGGGCCGGACGAGTCGAGGGCGCGAAATTCCAAGTGGCGGGCGTCAGGGAGGGTGAGGACAGCTGCGAGGGCGCGGGAGTGACAGGGTTCCTCTAGGAGGCCAGAGCGCAGCAGCTGCAGTGCCATCTGCTGGCTGGGAGTCAGGGAGTCGACCACCAGGCCCTGCGGGCGACCTATACTTACTGTTAGTATCAATCTACACAGTTTACAGATGGTTTACGGACGGGGGAATGGTGTTACTTACTTATGGCCGTAGCCGGGCATGTGGGCATTGCGGGGGATGGGACCACCACAGATTCGCTCGCTGAGGAGGCACGCGGGCCAGGAGGCACAGACGCGGCCATGTTGGAGGTTGCGGGGAAGGTCAGGGCCAGCGGAGAGGCGCCAGTAGGCTCATCTATCCAGTCGTTAGTATCAATCTATCAATCGGAGGGGGGAGGGGTGTTACTTATCATTGGCTGTTGGTGCAGTGCCAGCCCTAGGCAGATTCAGAGTCGTCGGAGTTAGGGTCAGTGTCATACTGACATTCGTTGCACTCAGTTTGCTATCAAACTCAAGAGCAAACTTGGAAATCTCCTCCTCAAAACCTACAAGTCACTATACATATTTTGGCTTATCACACCAACAACAAGAGCAATACTACTCAACGATTGCTACAACCATCTATGATTCATTACACGTCATCGCTCCTTAGTTACTGGGCCGATATTATCACATAGCATATCTCTACAACCCTCTATGATTCATTACATGACATCACTCATACTACCACATGACATATCTCTACCAACTAGAGGCCTAGGAGCATGAACGATAGCTCTAAAAGCTCCTACAAACCTCTATAATTCATTACATGTTATCGCTCTTTAGTTACCCACAAGATTGGTTAAGTTATGACATAATTTGTCTATGACATAATTTGTCTATAGGGGTACTCTGACCTTGGACTTCCTTTTACTTCCTATAGGCTACGAACCTAAGAGATGGTTCTATGGGATTCTCTTACGTCAACTACAGTTACCAAGCCTGGTAAGTCATGGAAAGTCTTGGAAAATGAGAGAACTACATTCCTTTAGCATAAATAGGATTGCCCTTTCCTTAAGAAAGGGCAAGCAGACAATACAGTAAATCGACTATCACATACTTCCACGTCTTTTCCAAGCTTCCAAGCATTCATCTTGTTACTCCTTGTTTCTGAAAAGTCAGTGAGGTGTTAACCTCTGACTTACCCCTGAGTTCCCAGACTCAACATTTGTTGCAACTTGTCTGAACCACTTCACTACATCACACACCTGATTGCTGCGTTGTGGAATAATCTAAGCTACGACCCTTTGGCTCTGTTTTCTAAGACAGTGTGTTGTCTTAGTAAATTCATCCCTTCCTTGGGTGGCTAGATTCTCACATCTGGTGCACCCACCATTACAGTCAGGGTCATCGTGGTGGTGGTCATGGTAGCGGGAGCGGGAAGCAGGAGCTTCTTCTTCTATTCACAAGTTAGCATACAGTAATCAATTCAAATAACAAAAGGAAAGGGGTTTACTTACCACGAGGAGCCTCATTGAGGCCAGAAGCCTCAGTGGTGGGGGCAGGGGCGGACATCTTCACTGTTGTTGTTAACTTATAGGAAAGTGAAACTGTGGAGGGGTTACATGTCATAGATCACGTGATGTAACACCAAATCACATGACCACTTACTGCAGGCAGAGTTACAAACTGGCGCCTACGGCGCCGGTGCACAATACTCGTCTATATTATAATACATTTTGGCTACCCCCTGCAGGATTGATTGGCTACAAAATGGCAAGATTCATGATTGGTTAGGGCATATATAGACCCGCTTATTACTTCTCTAGGCTTAAGGTGCACAGTTTTCACCCTAGGATCCACTGTTCTATGGTCTGTACCTGCCATCCGTAGCCCCTGTCTGCACCCGTAACTATTAATGTATATAGCTCTACCTCCTAAAGCTAGCTGTAGACTCTGCCTTTGATATAGGTCTTATGAGTTCCTCCCCTCCAATTCGGTGTTCCCACTGCCATGCGTACTGGGAGTCGTCGCTGTTCCGTACGAATTGCCTAGGTCGCCGGTACGCAATGTGCTCTCTATGATCTACCTCCCAGAATTCTCGCCATAGGATACAGGCCCATGGTAGGACAACACCACCTACGGCAGTACTTCCCTTTATACTTAGTGAATACCAGCTTACGGACTGTCTATAGCCTCCTATGGATGCCCTACTTAGTGACTACCAGCTTACGGCCCGCCCACAGCCTCCTACGGACGCCCCTCTGCAACGGCGCGGCCGCAGTCGCCCTCGCCGTCAGCCTCCAATCCCCATACCACTTCGCCCTATTACTCCACACCGTATGCAGTCTACCCCTACTGAGGAGCCTCTTGCACCTCGCCAGCCTAAGCCGCCTGGCTTTCTCTCTCGATTTGTTATGGCTGCCCCGCACGACCTTGGACAGCTTAACCATGAGTGTGAATATTGCACTGCGCTACACTGGGTGGAGGAGGCTACGCAGGATAAGCAGTATGAGAGCTGCTGTAAAAAAGGAGACGTTAACCTCCTGTAATGGTGGGTGCACCAGATGTGAGAATCTAGCCACCCAAGGAAGGGATGATTTTCCTAAGACAACACACTGTCTTAGAAAAAGAGCCAAAGGGTCATAGCTTAGACTATTCCACAATGCAGCAATCAGATGTATGATATAGTGGAGTGGTTTAGACAAGTTGTAACAAATGTTGAGTCTGAGAACTCAGGGATAAGTCAGAGGTTAGCACCTCACTGACTTTTCAGAAACAATGAGTAACAAGATCAATGCTTGGAAGCTTGGAAAAGACGTAGAAGTATGTGACTGTATTGTCTGCTTGCCCTTTCTTAAGGAAAGGGCAATCCTATTTATGCTAAAGGAGTGTAGTTCTCTCATTTTCCAAGACTTTCCATGACTAACCAGGCTTGGTAACTGTAGTCGACATAAGAGAATCCCATAGAACCATCAGCTAGGTTCCTAGCCAATAGGAAGTAAAAGGAGGTACAAGGTCAGAGTACCCCTATAGACAGATTATGTCATAACTTAACCAATCTTGTGGGTAACTAAGGAGTGATGACGTGTAATGAATCATAGATGGTTGTAGAAGCTTTTGGAGCTATCGTTTATGTTTCTAGGCCTCTAGTTGATAGAGATATGTCATGTGTAGTATTAGCCCAGTAACTAAGGAGTGATGTCATGTAATGAATCATAGAGGGTTGTAGAGATATGCTATGTGGTCATATCGGCCCAGTAACTAAGTAGCAATGACGTGTAATGAATCATAGAGGGTTGTAGCAATCATTGAGTAGTATTGCTCTTGTTGTTGGTGTGACAAGCCAAAATATGTATAGTGACTTGTAGGTTTGAGGAGGAGATTTCTAAGTTTGATCTTGAGTTTGATAGCAAACTGAGTGCAACGAATGTCAGTATGACACGGCTGGCAGCACGACTTGGTGTCCTGCTCAGTGTGACGCTTGAGGCAGTGTCTGTTTCGTCGTCGTTGTCGTCGACGGAATCTGGATCCGGATCTGGATCCGGATCCGTTTCCTACCCGTCTGCCAGTCTGGGCGATGGCGCCTGCCCATCGGCAAGGGCATCTTTTTTGGTCCAGGTCTGGAACCTGGACTCTCGCCATGCCTGCGATTGCTCAGTCTCGGCTTCAGCGGCGCCCTGGGCGGCCTTTCGGTCAGCGTCTCTTCTCGTCCGTTCGTCTTGGACCTGGATCCATTCGTCAATGGCATCAGACATAGAGTCTGTCTTGTCTTGCTCGCCGCTACTGTGGTTTAGGAGGTATTCCTTCCGCTTGATCATGAGGACCTTGACCACCTGCCAGAGCGTTGTGTGTGTCTTCTGAGACACAAACATAAACGCTCTAGCAACAACGTTCCAGAAAGCTGTGTTGGTGGCCTTGCCAAAAAGCTCTTTGTGGCCAAGAGCAATTCGGATAACCGTCAGCTTCTCCTTGTCAGTGAGATGTGGCTGGGCAAGGGGCCGGGCTCGAGGGAGTTTTGGGAGCTGGGAATTGGAGACAGCGAGGGCTGCGGTCGCATAGTCCTCAGCCGCCATAGACAAGGATGCCGGCGAGAATTGGGCGCGGCCCATAGGACCAGGTGTGGGTGAGGGGGGCCATGGCGACGGCGACTGCGACTGGGTCGCTGTCTCGATGGATGGGATTGGGGCCGGGGTTGCCCAAGTGATGCTCATGGAGCATTGATGATTATTCTCAGTATTCTGAGAATCATTTAGATTGGGGGGTTGGGTATCCATAGTCGTATATTGTACAATATTATCACATTTATCACATTTCTCACATTTCTCACAAATAGTACCACGAATGGTATCACGACATGAGGTTCACAATTGCTATGACTAATCTACGCATACTATATACGGAATTGCACACCTCTGACAAGTAATGGTCAGAGGTGTGCAGTCGGACGTCCAAATGAGGCTGCCAAGCCTGTGGCCAAGACAAAGGTCAGTCGGTACCAAGCCCCTTTTGGATTTGGTCAACGCTAAAGTGGTCAGGTCAGAGTTGCAAAATTGGTCTAATAGGTCGGTCGACCACGACAAAAAAAACCACCATATAAAACCTCATACTTTAAGCGACAATAAGCGACAATAAGCGACAAAAGTAGCATTAGCCAATGTCCACACAAAGTCCAGAAAGCTAAGGGGGACCCTAGAACTTGTGCACAACAGCATAAACTTATGTATCGATCACATGAACATAACCTCCGTACACTTCCTAATTATTCTAGTATTCTAATTGGCTGGAGTGCACAGACCGTATACAGACTTTTGGGGCCGCACGAGTACTGTACGGAGTGTTGAGGCATTTGGAAAACTAGCGTGAGCCACTTAGCCTGACTACATATACCACAACACTAAAAATGTGAATCCACACCCGTGCGCGCGTATAGCCATTTATTTACTCAACATCGTTAGTAACAGGAAAACTAGCGGGATCCACTTAACCTAATTAGGCTACGCCCCTAGACAACAATAGTAAAGCCTACGCTATTGTTCCTAATTGGGCTAAGTGGCCTACCCCCTACCTGCGCAAGTGATTTTTCAGGTGCGCATCGTATTTTTTCGGAATGAAATGGGCTGCGCGACTCGCTCGTGTGGGCGACTAGCATGTGAAATACATTATTTAATCACGTGGTTATTATATTTCACAGGCAAAAAGCACTAAATACAGGCATCTTTCCCCGCATTTCAGACTCCGAGGGGCCGGCCGGGAACCCCCGGGATGCACGTGTAGTGTGGGGCAAGACTGGGGAAGCAATCAATATACAGACCTCAACAGGACTGCTTCTATTCTTCTCTGTCAATTCATTTAATTGAAGATTTATATCCTTTGTTCACGGCGTATAAACGCTTCTAATCCCATCATGAGCACCCCCCTTGGTCCCCTCTCGACTCCCCTCCCTCCACTCCCTGCCGATGTTTTCACGTCGGCACAATGGTCCATCCTCCTCGCGCTGATGGACACCGTTGTGCCCCGGGTCGTAAGGGCGTCTGCAGCTTCACCTTCGCGCGCGATTGACGAGCTGGTCATCTCGGAGGAGGAATATGGAGCAATTGCGCGCGCGGTAGGAAATAAGGAGGGAGAAATCCTGGATGCGTACCTGGCCGAGCGGCCGAGCGAGAGTGAGGAGTTCAAAGGATTGTTGACAAGGCAGCTCGTGTCATACGCGAGGGAGGATCAGAGGAAGTCACTGATGATAATATTGTCGGTTCTGAGGTAGGCCATCCTGTTTCCGTCAGATTGGGAGCTCGAACTTACTATGGTTGTTTCTCAGCACCCGCCCAGGAGCGCTCCTCCTCACCGGTTATGCCACACCGCTGGACCAGCTTGACATTAAGTCCCGAACAGCAATCCTCCAGAACTGGGGCACGCACTATCTCAGCGCCATGCGTACTCTCTGCAATACTTTCACGTCTATTGGGAAGATGATTTACATCAAATCCTCACGCCTCTTCCCCGCGATCACAGGATTCAGCGCCATCCCGCTGAAATACTCGCCCGGCCCCTCGTATGAGTACACGTTCCTGCAGTTCCCCGAGTCCCAGACACCCGCTATCCTCAATTTTGACGTGGTAATCGTCGGCTCCGGGCTCGGCGGTGGCATCTCAGCTAAGAACCTCGCCGAGGCCGGCTTCTCTGTCCTCGTCGTTGACAAGGCATACCACTACACATCCGCGCAGCTCCCAATGACCGAAGCAGAGGGGATGATCCTCCTCTTCGAGAATGGTGGCATAATTCCGAGCGAAGATTCCTCAATCAACGTCCTAACCGGCTCCAACTTCGGTGGCGGCGGCACTGTCAACTGGTCCGCCGCGCTGCAGCCCCAAAGCTTCGTGCGTAAAGAGTGGGCCGAGGACCGCAACCTCCCCCTCTTCACATCCGCCACCTTCCAAGAATCCCTCGACCGCGTTTGGGAACGCATGGGCGTCTCCGACAAGCATATCCGCCACAATCACGGCAACAGGGTCCTCCTCGAGGGCGCGCGCCGCATGGGACATACCGCCAAAGCCGTCCCACAAAACACAGCCGGCAACGAGCATTACTGTGGCCACTGTATTATGGGCTGCTCGAGCTCCGAGAAGCAAGGGCCAACTGTGTGCTGGTTGCCTGACGCGGCACGCGCGGGCGCCCAGTTTGTCGAGGGCTTGGCAGTCGAGAAGGTCTTGATGAATGGGAAGAAGGCGGTTGGTGTTAAGGGACTGTGGACGTCGCGTGCGGGCGGCAAGCGTGAGGTTATCGTCAAGGCAAAGCGAGTCATAGTCGCAGCCGGCTCGATCTACTCACCACACATACTGATGAACAGCGGGATTAAGGTGCGTTCCCAAGCCCCAAGCCCCAACCCCTTTCGCCCCTTTTTTGTATTGGCGCTGACAAACCTGCTTTCTAGAACAATCAAATCGGCCGCCACCTTTACTTGCACCCCGTAAACGTTGTCTCTGCCTTCTTCAAGGAAGAAGTCCGCCCCTGGGAAGGCGGCATCCTCACCACCGTCTGCTCCTCCTTTGAGAACCTTGACGGCCACGGCCACGGCGTCAAGCTCGAGGCAACCTGCATGCTGCCCTCCCTCTGCCTGTCCATGGTCAACTGGGACTCCGGCACCTCCTGGAAGACCACCGCAGCCAAGTACCCGCACATGAACTCGTACATCTCACTCACGCGCGACCGCGACCCCGGCCGCGTGCTCCACGGCCCCAAGATCGAGTACACCCCCAGCGCATTCGACCGTCGCCACGTGCTCAGGGGTCTGATCGAGATGTCACGCATGCTCCTCGTAGTGGGCGCGCGCGAGATCCACATCAACGTGCCTGGCATCCGGCCATTCATCGTGGATGAGACCGGCGGCGATGCGACGTGCGAGATTGTGGACCCACGCTTCCTGAAGTGGATTGCGCATGTGGAGGCGGTGGGTAATTCGCCGCCTAACGCAACGTTTGCGTGCGCACATCAGATGGGGTCGAATAGGATGAGTGCGAAGAAGGCGGATGGAGTGGTTGATCCGGAGGGTAGGGTATGGGGCACCAAGGGGCTGTATATAACGGATGCCAGTGTATTCCCATCGGCGAGCGGTGTGAATCCCATGGTGACGAATTTGGCGATCAGTGACATCACGAGTCGTGGAATTGCGGCGGGGCTGAAGAAGGAGACAGGGACGAAGTTATAAGGGACAGGCGCGAGCCGCTGAAATCGGGGAGGGGGGTGCAGCGAAGCGGTTGTGATACCAATACTGTGTTGTGTGGCTCTGACTAGCTCCGAGTCAGTTAATACTGTAGTACATGCTAAAGTTTAGTTTTCGTTTTCCAAGATTAAGTTAGTTTTCTTCGAGTCCGTTGGACAGCACGTCTAAGTTTGCTGTCGCTTTTCACCCGCTGTCCGTTGCATCATGTATGGTTGTCTCGCGTCTGTCGAAATTCACCCCAATAATCACAGCACATACGTTCTGCCTTACCGAAATGTCCATATACCGGTCTATCGCTCTCCAAACCTGGACTGCCATATGCTGGGCTATCTGAACTGGAACTTCTCTGCTTCTTCATCATTATCATCATTATCGGCATTGGTGGTCGATAAGTGAAGGTGCGTCTCATCCTCCCCATCTTATCCCCAACTTACCCCGCTAACCCCGCTAACCCCGCACTGGCGCTAGGCGTTTACAGTGGAGACGAAAGACATTCCCCAGTCGCTCTCTCTACATCTCTCCCTGACACTTTCACAACCCCGATAGCCTCACTCCCATTGATGCGATGCACGACTCCTAGGGAGATTATTCGCCGTTCCGATTCTCACATCACAAGTGGACTCCGCTACCGTAAGTGACCAGCACAACAGACGTCGCCATGGCCGGGGAGCCGAGATCCAGTGATGCAGGGCCTCGACGGCGCACCAAAAAGGCCTGTCTCACGTGCCAGGAGAAGAAGCTCAAGGTATGTATGTATGCATGGATAAATGGTTGGAGCCCCCGAGACTACGCTTTCTGACGATTCGTATTTCTCGTGGTAGAAATACATATATACATGACGCTAAGACGGTTTGATGATGCAGTGCAGTGGCCTGGGCGCAATCTTCAATCCACCCAGGCCCAGGGGCACCTTCATCCTCTCGCCTCCCCATGACTGCCGTTGCCGCAAATCAGAGGCTCAAATCTACCCCCAAGGACGCCTCCATTTCGAAATGAGCGCTACATACGCACAGAGAGCCAGGTTACGTCTTCAAAGATGTTTCCCCCCATGAACGAAGCACCAGCGGCAACAGGGGACGTCATGGGGAGTACGTCAGTGGACAGAGCCTCCGAGAGCAGCTGCGGATGCTGCAGGATGGTAAAGGCAGGTTACGTGGGTAAGTTTCATCCAGTGAGACGTGAGGAATACTTCTAATGTTTGTGTAGTATATTTGGGTAATTCGGCAAGTCGTATCTCGATACAATACGAAGACTCGTGGAGAACGATAGGACCGTGCAACGTCACAAACGATGGACATAAAGGCAAAGTTGTTGAGGAGTCGATTTCAACGGGGTTGACGCCAACCTATGTCCTGCCTGATAAGGAGGCGGCTGATTTTCTACTTAAATCTTTTTTCTCTAACGTGACCTTCAACTTCCCTCCTGGAACGCCGCCACCTATGCCCCCTGCAGACTGTGGGGACAATTCCCATATTGGATCGAGAGCCATTCACTCAGGAGGTTCAATCGATATACAATCCGCTACAGACTAAGTAACACGCTTATCGATTCTGAATCTCGTTTTTGCAGTTAGCCTGCAACTGATGATGAGGTCTGATATATCTAGTCTCCGTGAATGCCAAATACTTGAGCGGCTCGATGGCGGTAGTAGAGCTGAGGTGTTTTACGTAAATGCAACGCATCTGAACGACCCAGTATCGGGGTTTGAAGACGGAGACATCACATCTATTCCGGCACTGCTACTAGTCATGGTGTAACGGGTGCCGGCGTTACAGTACATGTGGTATATAAAGCGTGTTACGCGTATTCCGGGTGAGCCGGAATACTGTAGTCTTTTTGGCTCAGTGGGATGTAGTGCGAGCGTAACCGTACATCGTTACACACGGTGTCTATATTGACTATAGCTAAACGTAACGCTACATGGGCTTACTTGGGTTCGTTGCCCTTGCTCTACATTTTTACATAGTCTAACTTCACCCAAAAATATACAACTATCACCATTAATGCAAGATCAGTCAATGGCTAAGCTTTTTAATTGATAAAGATTGAACGCTTCACTTTGAGCGTCTCGTATTCATGTTATACATTATCCTCCGTCTACCTTAGGGATTCCTTGCCAGTTGCGCATCGCCTTCTAGTCCCCATTCATGTTTAACTATAGTTCGGATCATGGTAATTAGCTTAGAAGGTCTGTGGTTGTTATTAGCATATAATTATCATCATGGTCTGTTCTCTTAACTTGGGACTTTTTTTGCCTGGAATTGTAGTCATTTACAAAGATGCTCCTCACCACCAACAAGCCTTCCTTGTGCCTGTCGTGCCATTCCTTCACCTTCCAGCCTTGTAGGCAAAGTTTACGTATTTTTCTCTATTTGACCATTGAAAGCCACAGTTTCAGATGGAGAAACTGGCGCATGAGGGAGCGGATAGTGTCGGGCATGTGTAGTTGGGGGTGTTTCCAGTGGCTTTTGAAGCACCAGATATAAGAACCAATAATACGAAAAGCCGAGTCCGGCTTCTCGTACTATTGGTGGGTGTACAGCGCTTTAGTTTTAGTCCATACAGTACAAGTAAGCTGACTACTGGATCCCGCCACTACCTGCTATGGAACAACAAGAAAACACGATATTCCTACATCGTTTTGAACTTGTTATCTCAAACGCCCTGGTATACAAACTTTTGCGGGCAACTTTATGTAATGGTGGGTGCACCAGATGTGAGAATCTAGCCACCCAAGGAAGGGATGAATTTACTAAGACAACACACTGTCTTAGAAAACAGAGCCAAAGGGTCGTAGCTTAGACTATTCCACAACGCAGCAATCAGGTGTGTGATGTAGTGAAGTGGTTCAGACAAGTTGCAACAAATGTTGAGTCTGGGAACTCAGGGGTAAGTCAGAGGTTAACACCTCACTGACTTTTCAGAAACAAGGAGTAACAAGATGAATGCTTGGAAGCGTGGAAAAGACGTGGAAGTATGTGATAGTCGATTTACTGTATTGTCTGCTTGCCCTTTCTTAAGGAAAGGGCAATCCTATTTATGCTAAAGGAGTGTAGTTCTCTCATTTTCCAAGACTTTCCATGATTACCAGGCTTGGTAACTGTAGTCGACGTAAGAGAATCCCATAGAACCATCTCTTAGGTTCGTAGCCTATAGGAAGTAAAAGGAGGTCCAAGGTCAGAGTACCCCTATAGACAAATTATGTCATAGACAAATTATGTCATAACTTAACCAATCTTGTGGGTAACTAAAGAGCGATGACATGTAATGAATCATAGAGGTTCGTAGGAGCTTTTAGAGCTATCGTTCATGCTCCTAGGCCTCTAGTTGGTAGAGATATGTCATGTGGTAGTATGAGTGATGTCATGTAATGAATCATAGAGGGTTGTAGAGATATGCTATGTGGTAATATCGGCCCAGTAACTAAGGAGCGATGACGTGTAATGAATCATAGATGGTTGTAGCAATCATTGAGTAGTATTGCTCTTGTTGTTGGTGTGATAAGCCAAAATATGTATAGTGACTTGTAGGTTTGAGGAGGAGATTTCCAAGTTTGCTCTTGAGTTTGATAGCAAACTGAGTGCAACGAATGTCAGTATGACACTTTAAACAACTCGCATTTCGCTGCAAGAGCTACTCTTCCATCCATACACGGGCAATATCTAGGAAACATTATCAGGACTGCTTCCACAGTTTGTAGCCATCACGAGTACCAAACCAGCATCTGATACCCCGCGCTTCAATCCCAATTTCACCCAACATGTCATCGACTCCATGGGACCCAATGCCTTGTCATACTGAAATTCGTTGCACTCAGTTTGCTATCAAACTCAAGAGCAAACTTAGAAATCTCCTCCTCAAACCTACAAGTCACTATACATATTTTGGCTTGTCACACCAACAACAAGAGCAATACTACTCAACGATTGCTACAACCCTCTATGATTCATTACATGTCATTGCTCCTTAGTTACTGGGCCGATATGACCACATTGTCATACTGACATTCGTTGCACTCAGTTTGCTATCAAACTCAAGAGCAAACTTGGAAATCTCCTCCTCAAACCTACAAGTCACTATACATATTTTGGCTTATCACACCAACAACAAGAGCAATACTACTCAATGATTGCTACAACCATCTATGATTCATTACACGTCATCGCTCCTTAGTTACTGGGCCGATATTACCACATAGCATATCTCTACAACCCTCTATGATTCATTACATGACATCACTCCTTAGTTACTGGGCTAATACTACACATGACATATCTCTATCAACTAGAGGTCTAGGAACATGAACGATAGCTCCAAAAGCTTCTACAACCATCTATGATTCATTACACGTCATCGCTCCTTAGTTACCCACAAGATTGGTTAAGTTATGACATAATTTGTCTATAGGGGTACTCTGACCTTGACGCGAGCGCGTCCAATGCGACATCAGGACAACGCGACTATCTGGACAACAATTGACACGTAAAGTTACAATCATGTCAATTGATATAGCTAGAAACGAAGCTATTCAAAAAGCAATTGATTTCCTAAATCAGAACCCAATGGAGACTATCGCCGCAGCAGCTAGAATCTACCATGTACTCCCAACCACACTCCGTATGCGACGCATGGCGCAACGCCAACCACCAAAGCCTCGCGGAGGTAACAACAGAATACTTTCAGATATACAAGTTATAGCTATACAAAGATACATTCAACGGTCATATGAAAATGGGTATGGTGCAACGAAGCCAATGGTGTTTAATGCTATCTGCCAACTACTAGCAGCTGAAATCCCGACGCATCCACCACCATCTCAACGGTGGTTCCAGACTTGGATTAAGACTCAACATGAGACTTTCCACACCATTAAAACCCGGCCAATTGAAGCAGCACGTGTTGCTTCTCATGATGTATCAGCTATCAAAGAATGATTCAAAGATGTGTGTAATCAATTAGATGTTACTGCAGCTAACATCTACAACTTTGATGAAGTTGGGTTCCGAGTGGGAATGAGCACCGGTGAACATGTGTTAGTGCCAACAGCAGTAAAGGAGGTATGTTATATGTACTCATCTTACATTATATTATTCTAATTTGTATAGCTTTATATACAAGCTCCAGAGAATCGTCAAAGTCTCACAGTAATAGAGACAATTTCAGCTGCTGGCATTGTACTTCCACCGTTCCTAATAATTCAAGGAAAGCTTCATATGGAAAATTGGTACCATGATAATCTACACGGTGATGAGATAGTTGCAGTATCAGATTCAGGATATACAAACTCTGAGCTCGCAATGGAATATCTACAGCATTTTATTCAACATTCTGCACCCTCTACAAAGACGAAGGTGCTTATAATGGACTCTCACATTTCTCATGAAGTTCCAGAATTTATAATACTTGCACATCGAAACAACATACATTTACATGTATTCCCTTCTCACCTTACACATATACTACAACCTCTTGATGTTACAGTATTTGCACTGTATAAGCATTGGCACCGCCGTGCTATTCAACAAGCAATTCGGAATTTTGATGTTGACTATAATGTTATTTCATTCTTCCGAGACTTACCTACAATCCGAACACAAACGTTTACAAAGGGAAACTGTATGAAAGCGTTTAGAGACTCTGGTATTTGGCCACCAAACTACGAGAAGATAGAAAAGAAAGTGGCAATATACGCAAAACCAGCACTTTTAGTAACACCAAGGCAAGCAATCCAAGCAAGTCAAGATCTTTCAGATTGGAGGCAAAGATTTGAAGAGATTCTTAGTTCACCATCACAGCAAAAGTGGACATCTTCTTATACAGAGATTCAAGTACAGTTAACAGAAAGTACTTTGGTTACCTCAGAGCTTATGCAAATTACTACTATTATGTCTGAGCAAAGACAACGGAAAGTTAGAAGCAGAAAATCTATTCAAAAGGGTGGAGCTGTTACAGTTGAACCACGGAAGAAGATTCATACGAAGATAGTAAAGGAGCAAGAGAGAGAAGAAGCAAGAGAGAGGAGAGAGAGAAAGCGCATGGTTAACCTTGAGTATAAGCTGCAGCTCCGTGCTGGCATTGATGCACGGAGAGCGGAACGGGTACGGAAAAGGGAATTACTTGAATTCCAAAGGAGTAACCCAGACACCGAGCTACCAAGGGAGTAATCATAGACCCTGATATTGAGCGTAGGAGACAGAAGGAAGTGGAGGAGAAGGAGGAGCAGTTGCACCGGCAATTGGCCGCTGAAGAAAGTGGTTTTGTTGACTTTGCAGACCTTGACTACGACATGATCCACAGTGCAAGTGACAGTGTAAGTGATAATGAATCACTGCCCGACAATATAGATCCTAACCTATTTAATTAATCAATTATATCTACGTTCATTGCTGTTCGTTGTCCAGATAGTCGCGTTGTCCTGATGTCGCATTGGACGCGTTCGCGTTTGCCGAGAGAGCAAGGATCGCTTTCGCCAACCGCCTCCAGGCGGTGGTTTGGAAACCAACGATTAGGACTATCTTATTCCTATCAATAGGGTTCCAACCGAGAAACCGTCGCCGTCATCCCAAGTGCATGCTCAGTAGAGAGTAATGTGCCGTCTTGTTTCATTTGCATATGAGCGGAATGATTTAGTCAACCAGACCACTGTGAGTTGGTTCAGAAACCAACGATCACGGCCAGGATGTCGGATCGGATGTTAACAGGCAAGTGGGCCGACCCGAGAACTACTACCATACAGTATCTCGTGCAGTAAAACATCATCTGGGGTGTAGTGCCAGTTGATGCTACAACCCCGCTCAAGCATTTCTATGTCAGAGCTGTGTCTTGTGGGGTGTGGAGAGCTTTCGCATCGGCGAATAGATGTGCGTAAGTGATGGGGGTAAATATCCCCGCAAAGCTTCTGCCGCTCTGCCGCTCTGATAAATATATAATATTGTCAGTCTCGTTGTCTCGAGAATTCTTCATTGTACCTACGTTTGTGGCACTCTTCACACTCCCTTTGTAAGAATCATCATCTCGAGACTTTGTTTACACACGAAGACATCATGGTCCAACGAAAGGACTTCCATGTTGCTGTTTGTGGCGGGGGTATCGGAGCCTTCTTCGCCAGAACGTCTCCTGCAAATTATACGAGCAGCCTCAGCATTCCCAGAAGTCGGTGCCGGCGTCCCTTTTGGGCCCAACACCATTCGAGCAATGGAGATCATTGACCCGCCCCGAAAATCGCCAAAGGGTTTGCAAATTGTGCGACCACCAATGGCTGGCCAGAGAAGAAGGATACGTGGTTGATTTCAGAACTGTGCAGGAGAAGGGCACGCGAGGGGGTGTACTTGCAGCCGCCAATACACATGTTGCCGATGTAAAGACGAGAGGCACTCACAGAGCGCATTTTCTGAACGAGCTCGTGAAGCTTATCCCTGATGAAGTGCCCGAGTTTGGAAAGAGGCTGAAGAACATCGAGGAGAGTGGAGACAAGATGGTAATGACCTTCGAGGACGGGACAACTGCAGAAGCAGACGCTGTGATCGGATGTGACGGTATCAAATCACGGACGCGTGAGATATTACTGGGCAAATATCACGAGGCTGCACATGCAGTGTTCTCTGGAAAATACGCATACAGACGTCTAATACCGATGCGCAGTGGATGCCTTAGCAGTGGATGCCTTAGGAGATGAACTGGCGAAAAACTCGCAGATGTACATGGGCGAACATGGACATGTATTTATCTTCCCTATTGGGAAGGGAAAGACTAGGAATGTAGTTGCTTTCAGAACTAAGCCCGACGGGAAGTGGGAGGATTAAAAATGGGTTCTGGCATCCAAGAAGACATGGTAAAGGATTTCGCGGGTTGGGGAGACAATGTTACGAGCATTATGTCTGTAAGTTGGACCCCAATACTCAACCAAAAAAAATGATACTTCAGCTAATAGATATACACAGCTTATGGAAAAGTTCGACGTTTGGGCCTTGTTTAGACACCCACCGGCGCCAACATACTACAAAGGCAGGCTATGTCTTCTTGGAGATGCGGCACAAGCTTCGACGCCCCATGAAGAAGCTGGCGCAGGTCAGGCTATTGAAGATGCCTTTATTTTATCACACTTATTTGGTCAAGTCCACTCTGCGGCTGATATTACGCAAGCTTTCAAAGCCTACGATGCTGTACGAAGGCCACGGAGCCAACGTGTAGTAACAACAAGTAAAGAGGCTGGTTGTTTATACGAAATGGAGGATGAAGAGGTTCGAAGTGATCTGGATAAGGCAAGGGAAAATTTGCTAGCCCGAGTGGATATGGGAAAACGATTTGAACTCACAGTTTAGAGAAGCTCAAGACGCCATGATGAACGGAAGCAAGATTTAGATATTTAGATCGATGATGAGAACAGGCGAATCATTTATGAGCAAAATTTATTGTAATTCCATAGCTATTGTAAAGGTTCTGGCTGGAGATAAAACTGAAAGAAATGAGGAGTAGGAGTAAATGAAGATCAGAATGTTGATACGTTTTCTCAGCAATTGCAAATTGTGCATCTGAGTGAGCTGGGTTAACGTAATGGTGGTTCATCATCTCAACAGGAATTTGACAAAATAAAAAAGGGGGATTGTGAAGTTGGAGTGTGGAGTTGGGTTGGGCGTTCGGAAGGAAGGATATCGATGGTGCATGCCAAGTTTCACTCTCACGAGGAACAAAACAAGCATGTCAGTTGTAGTCGAAAATTGGTTGTAATTTCGTAGCTAGTGTAAAGTTATGGCTCCAGGTAAACAGAAAGAGATGGGGAGAAAAAGTTGATCAGAATGTTGATACGTGTTCTCAGCAAGTGCACCTTGTGCATCTGAGTGAGCTGGGTTAACGTAATGGTGGTTCATCATTCCAACGGGGATATGACAGAATGAAAAAAGTGGCTGGGAAGCGGATTGGGCTTTGTATGGTGAAATAGTGGCGGTGCATGTCCGGTTTCATCGTGGTGCTGTTGTCCAAAGGCAGTCCGGATTGCTTCGAACTGGTCGTAGTAATTCGATCAATATGGCGTATTTCGAATATAAAGTCGCAGGATGTCGCCATTGGCTTTGAGATCGAATTCGAAGTTCGCAGTCGGCTTTTCCGCAGTCCCCAATCTGTAAATATTGTCGGTGTATCCTGTCCGACACAAGTTAATAGCACCAGCAAATATTTCATAGCCCGCATACTCATATCACACAGGCGCTTCAGTCGAATTGAAGGTGTTTCATTGTTGAGTATTCGTAGCTAATCGCAGTCTAACAAAGACCCATGATGACACTCTCCTTGTTCCGATCATCCCAATCCCATGCAGCCTGAACCCCGAGGAAAAGAGTCGCTTAGAATTTAGAGAAAGCTTTGACGGCCTTGCCGGTTCTTGGGAGAACGCGGAGAACATTGAATCGGACCTATTGCCATATCAGCCGGCCGTTCCAGAGTGCTACTTGCTCTTGAAGACAAGTAGAGGGCGCGGGTGTAAATCGCGTTTCGTTTCCAAAGATCATAGATCTGTTTATCCGATGGGTTTTGTTTTAAACTTACAGTCTTGCTCAATGGGCGGCATTGGCCGACGGTGACCTGGTCACCCTCCTCAACACGGAAAGCTGGCGAAACGTGCGCAGCGAGGTTCTTGTGGCGCTTCTCGTAACGGGCGTACTTGGGGACGAAGTGGAGGTACTCGCGGCGGATGATGAGGGTTCTGTGCATCTTGGTGGAGACGACAGTTCCGGTGAGGATACGGCCACGGATGGAGACTTGGCCGACGAATGGGCACTTCTTGTCTGTGAGGCGCGCAATGTTAGCAGCTGTTTAAGTTTGCGTTTCACTCCAATATTTGTTGCCATGCGACACCAGGAGCTCGAGTATCAACATTCTCCTCCATCTTCAAGTGAAGTGCCCAACTTCCCACCCCGTCCTCGAGCTCCCAGAAATTTCGCATTCCCTTCGCATTCTCCCAGAATCCGGTGTCGACATACCAATATAGGTTCCCTCAATGGCGTTCTTTGGGGTTCTGAACCCAAGACCAACATCCTTATACCATCTGCGTCCTCCCTTGCCAGCTCTCGCCGACTTGGCCTTGACCTTGGAGTTAAGGAAGATATGCGGCTGCTTCTGGAAAGCGCGCTCGGACTGGACGGTCAATTCGGTGGCCATTTTTGCGTTTGGTGGATTGTCGCGATTGTCGAAAAGTCGTGCAAAGTATCGTCGTCGTTGACTTCACTTGCCTCAAAACGCGGATTTGCAGGCGGAAGCGAAGATAGGGCTGGGATGCCCTGAACTTTTTCTCGGACACGAGCTAAGAGTAAAGTAGGTTAGCGCGATGGTGGTTTGAATTTTGTTGATATCACGTGAGGTAGTCGCGATCGGGGTCTTGATTGTGGATAAGCGAGTCGTGTCCGTGTTTGTTGACATCTCGAACTTGTCCCGCAAATCAGACGTCACCATTGTAAATAATGTCCCTATAGCTCCCAACACCAAACTTAAGCTCACGATTGGGATATTGCATTGCAGAATCGGCTTCTGGGCCATATACCGACATGTCTTCTCGAGATGACATGACTCTGCCGGCTTCGTGGCCGAAGTCGCGCAAATCCCTGGCTCATGTGCCTTCCTCCAGCTCAACAATGGACAAGGAGAATATGACGGCGGATATTGGAGCTATGGTGGGGAGCAACAAGAGAGCTCCCATTGCAGGAAAAGCGGCAAAGAAGTCCCGCAGCAAAAGCATAGGCCCTGGGGGTCTTGATGCGCTCATGGGCAGTTCTGGCAATAGGCGCAAGGTGAGAAAACCATGAACCACGTTTTGGCACTATCATATTAATATCTATGAAGTCAATTGCTGCTCCTCCACTAAGATCGATTCTGAAGCCCACGATTGCTCCTCTGCAGGAGATACCGGCTCGCAAGCCAAGCCCCAGGAAACCAGGCCAGCAGGCGACGGCGCAATCGACCTTCTTGAGAGACGCCACGAAGGATGATACTGCGGATCCGTTTATGCTTCTGGAAAGCACGACTATATCAGATAACAAGGTTATGCTTCGTACAGAAGAGGAACAACAAGCTGCTGCCAGAAAACGCGACGGTGATGAAGCCCAGGATAAAGAGAAAGACTTGGCTGCTCGACGAGATGCTCGTCGCAAATCGTTAGCAGCACGCCGTGTGTCCTTCGCTCCAGAGGCGACTCTCCATACCTGGGATGTGGTGGACTACATGCAGGACTCAACCACTTCCTCCGACTCAACCAACTCAACGCGTCGGACCTCTTCCGCCTCCAATGGCACAATCGGCTCGCCACACACTCAGCCTGGACCATTCGGTTCTGATCCATCCGAACCTCCGTCGACGCCTCCTGAGCAGGTTGAGGACAAAGTGTCGGAAACTCCTGATGACCAGCGTGCGCTACATCAGAAGAAACGCAGACGAAGCTCGGGCATACCGCCACTTAACTTCAACAACCCTGACGACGAATTCTTTTCTTCCAGTCCATCCGAGGGCAGCTCAGTGGTTGAAGACGCAAATGAAAATTTCAACGAGAAGGGCTCCTCAGACTCGAATAGCGACTCTGACGGTGATGGTACGGCAATGTCGATTGACATGGGAGAAGGTACAGACATGTCAATGGCATCTGTAAAGTCATTCGCAAGCGATGGGTCAAGCGTACGCCTAGAAAGGGCTTTACAGCTAGCGGCACAACAAGCCGGTACGCAGGGAGTTGACCTTCATAAAAATGGCCCTCTGGGAATTGAAGAGGATGAGGACGTTGTCGCCTCCTTTGCGCCTTGGTCACAGAAGTCCGTGACAGCAAATCTCGAGTCACAGACAGACCAAGAAAACGTCAACCCGTTTTCACCAGCGTTCGCTGTTGCGGGCACACGTCAACAGGATGCGAATGATGAAGACGACGGCATGACGATGGAAATGACGCGCTCGGTTGGGGGTATTCTTCAAGCCCCTAAATCACAACTTTCCAATGATGACGATCAGTCAATGGACATTACAATGGATATGACCAGGGCAGTAGGCCGTATTTTGCCTGCTGAGCAACCTGACGAAGATGGCACCATGGAGATGACCATGGAGATGACGAAGGCCGTTGGTCACATCCTCTCAGCACCAGTGCACGATTCATCGCCTCAAGAATCCGATGACGAGATGACTATGGACATGACTGTTGCCATTGGCGGTATCATTGCTCCGCCCAAGAACAGACGCCAATCAGCCCGGAGACGGAGCACTCGTCGCAGGTCTTCTGTGGAAGACTCATCTCTTGGCGATGAGACCATGGATTTCACAGTGGCTATGGGTGGTATTCAACCAGCTCAACCCGGCACACCTAAGACTGCGCCTCTTTATCCAGACATCAAGGCTGCGTACAACGAGATTGTTGCACATCCACCAAGCAGCATTTCAAGTCCAGAAGCCAAACGAATACTGGTTGAAGAAGTTGACCATGCAGAGGTTCTTAGTTCTCCTTTCCAACCAGATGTACTATCGTCTATTCAGCACCCAGTTCCAACTGCCGCCACTGCTTCCGAAACTGGGAGCCCTAGTATCCATGCCTCCAGAGGCAAAGGTCTACGCAGGAGTTCCGTCCTTAGTACGTCCATGACCCCCAAGACATCTTCAGCGACCACAGACGCGATGAAGTCAGCGGCAACACCAAGCCCTCTTCAAAAGCCAACCACGCCTTCCAAGCAAGCCACGCCGCAGCCGGTGCGGCCAACTACTCCTGGGAAAACTCCCCCGTCAAAGAGCATTGCAATGCGCACTGGTTCGCCACAGCGACTATTCGAAAAAGAGATAAAAGCCGCCAATGCATCGCCCAGGTTTACACCAAGTAAAAAGCCAACAACCCCAAACAAACTATTTCAAAGGAATATGGATAACAATACTGCGACCCCAAGCATAATACTCAAGCCTCAGAGTAGACGCTCTTCGGGTGTTGGGATAGACCGGCCAGGGCTTGGATCTCCTCACGTCGCTGCGATTCTTGATCGTCGCGGCTCAATTGGGGACCAAGCATCCTCATTCCAGCCAAGTAGAATGGGTGATGCTGCTCGTGTCATTCGCTTTAACGATACGGAAATCATTGAGCATGAGGTAGATAGGGAGCGGGAAGAGGAGATGGACCGCGACGATGGGCGCAAAGTCATGGAGAGGGAGGCAGACCTATTGGATGATGAAAAAGATGCAACAGTCAACCTCAAGGAAATGATTGAAAGCCTCACCCCAAAGAAGCGGCCATTGAAAGGCCGCAAGAGCTTGCATGTTGGAGCAGCCAAGGGTATCCTTGGGAAGCGCCCTGCGGAACTTGACGATGACGATGAAAACGGCGATGATGATGAGGGCGGTACGAAGAGACTAAAGAACTTTGAAGGTAGCCCCGTCAAAAACGTCAAGCTGAGAGCACCTCCATCAAAAGAAGAGACAACTGGGCGTTTAACCCGCGCAGTCCGCCGAAGCTTGGAATTCACAAGTGGAAATGCCTCCACGCCCACCACGGCTTCATCGCCTGTCAAGATTGCTACAGCCACCACTCCCAAAGGCCAGGCCAGGTTCAAGGACGCTGAAGCAATTGTTGGAGCTGATACTGCCATTCCGTTCGAAGCTAGTTCCACGTCAAATCATCCAATTGCTATGGACGAAAACGACGTTGAGGATCGCATACAGCTCCAAGATTTCCTAAACCTGACCAGTATCAGGTTCATGGAATTGACAACTACGAAGAGGCGGCATACAATTGCCCCTAATGCTGCTGCACAGGACGGGTCAGAAGACCAACTTAGAAAGGACGATGGATCATTGGAAAACTGCGTCGTCAGTGCTGCTTGCACTCTTCCCATGCTTGAGTTGTTCCAACATGTAAGTAATTCCCAGGCTCAAGTTTATGCTCAAACTAACACATTATAGTCCTGCCGTGAGCTGAAGAAGTATATTTCTGAAGGCCGCAAGATGGTTCGTGAAATAGAGACGGAGACTTTCGATGAAAATCCTCCTCTATTCCAGGAATACATCTCTGCCACTCCGGATGTGAAGAAGCTCATGGATAACCAATTCAGAAACATCAAGACTCATTCGAGGCTCGTCAGTAAGGGCATGTGGTATGAGTGGCGAATGAAACTCCTGGATGGTCTTCGAGATGGCCTCATCACGATTGCGGAGGGCATGTCCTCCGATGCGGACGCTTTGGCCAAGCAGCAGGAACTACTCGACAACGTCGTTCCAGAACTTGTACAAAAGTACGAGACATTACTTCAACAAGAGGCAGATTTACAAACTTCAGCGGAAGAAATCGCCAATTGCAACCAAGAAGATCTCGCCGAGGCGCGGGAGTGCCTTGTGGCCCTCGACGCCGATATTGAGTCAAAGAAAGCGTTGGTCCAAGAGCTACGCAGCCAAATGGAGGAGAACGAGACTCGCTTCAAGGTCGCAACCGAGAGGAAACAGGCCTGTCTGGATGAAATTGGTGAGGCTGACAAGATCCGCGAAGAATGCCGCGGATGGACGGGCTCGGAAATCGCAGCGCTGAAGGCGAAGGCAGACTCACTTGAGGAGAAATACGGGTGGACTATCACTGGAATCTCAGGGACTACCCTCTCGTTGTCTCTGCACAGTGACCTGGAGCTGGTATTCGACGCATCGTCGTTCAGAACCAAGGATGGTCAAGCGAAGAATGCTCAGGCCAATTCGCGTATTGATCTCTGGTACATCGCTGCGAACCGCGAGCGTAATCCTCTGCCGTTGACACCAGAGAAGGCCTTCTTCGTGGAGAGCATCCGTGATGGGATCCGCGGTATGCCGCAGTCACAGACAACGATCAAGGAGCTCCTCGATACTGTCAGCTTTGGCTGGGCCACATCCCTCAATGTCGTCGAGGGCATCGAGGCATTGAACCGTGTGTATCCCACTGATGTTGCAAAGACGAGCGACGAGAGCATCGTCATCAAATCGAGGATGCTGCTCGCGTCGCTGGCTAGCAAGGTGGAGGTGAGCTACCATGTTACGACGAAGAATGGTGAAGAGGGACTTGAAGTGCAGTTTAATACCACAGCACGGGTTGTGTATGGAGAGAGGTTCAACGAGGACAGCATGGGGAGATTTTTGGGCAAGGGGGTTGCCGAGGGGCGGGGTTGGGTGGAGGTTGTGGAGGAGTTAGAGGGGAGGCTGTTTGCGAGAGGGAAGAAGTGAATGTCAGTCCTGTGTTTTGGTTTTGTTTAAAGATCCAATTGTGGATTTTCGTGTATGGCGTCTGGTGTTGGGGTATGGGTGAAGCACCTATGAGAGAACGCTTTTGTAGCGGGGTATGATGAGATGTTATTTTACGAATGCCCTAGCAACTATGAACTACTTCATTTTATATTGTCATTTTATAATGAAGTCAATCCTATACAATCTCTTCGGTGATTATTTTCAGTAAAATCATGAGTGGAATACT